ATAAATGTTTTGAACATCGGCCGTTCATGATCCAGGAGCAGAAAAACATTCTGACATCATCTATATTTGTGTGTTGAAATGGTTGAATCACATAGATAAATAGATGAAGGTATTTGACACTAACTTGAAGCAGTATTTGCAAATGGTTCATTGCTATCAATCGCAGGTTTTAATCTTGCCTTCCGGGCTAGAAAATTCGCTTCTTCGTTTCGATACATCAACCCGGCAGACTTGGGGTAAAACGTGAAGCTGGGGCGGCCACTTTTTACCCTTAAATACCCGCGTACTATCCAAGTTTTTCAGAGGTTTTCATAATTCCTGTATTTACGCTAAGCAAAGGCGAATTCCCAATAAGTATTAAACTGTTCGAAGGGTTTTGTTGGCACCGAATATAAGTGAAGATTAGAGTAAATAAAGTGAAAAGACCCAAAAACATCCGCGAAATCGAGAGAAATTGTGGAGCAAAATTTCTCCTTGTCCTTTAAAGACGTTCTCAAAAAAATGTCATCTTGGGATGCGTAATGGTGCAAAATTTATGAGTCTACTGCGTATACCGCTGTCAATTGGCAAAATGTCAGTTAGAAATTGAAATCACGCTTATTTGAAAGGAATAAACGAAATAAAAGTCAAACATTTCTTCTAAACAAATTTTGCGTTACTCTGAGTGTTGTAATCACCATTATTCTCGTCAACCGGAGACATTCAACAATGGATGAGCGGGATTATAAAATTTCATGGATGTATGGCACACAAATTCAACCATCAAAGTATGTATATATTAGTCAAGGTTTCCGGGGTTGACTGAGTGATTTTTTTGTGACAAGAGGACGTGATGCTAAATCCAGGCATCGCCACTCACACAGTTTTTACGCTGGAAAAAAAATTTGTTATGAACAATGATCACATTGTAAACTTGGACAAATATAATTCGTTCTCCGTTCATCAGAAATGAATAATTTGGGTTCAACAATACGGATATTCTTTTGCTATAAGAACGCTTTATAATTTCTATTTGGTCTACATGATTTAATTTAGACTCGTATCAAGTGTATGATAATGTGAAGGGCGAAAGATAATTCTGTAGGGTTTATTTAAATTGATCTAAACTGGCCATCAACTGTTAGAAAATTCAATACATAATTAAATTCAAAATTTCCAGAATGTGATGTTTCGAATAGCTGAAGCGATCTCGTACTCATTTTCTTACTAGAAACGAAAAGGAGACTTCAAGTGAAAGCCAAAACAGCATGGATGTCGGGCCGGGTAATGTTTAAGGAAGAAATTCGCCGTGAAAAAGCGGAATTGAAGCGGGCCGTGTAGCAGGTCTTCGATCTGAGAAGATTCTCGGCCACGTGCACGGGTTTTTACCACCACGTGCAGAACAGGAAAAGTGTTAGCCGCAAGCTGTGGGCTAGACGAGGAGGACACTTTTCTCTTAACAATTCCGGTAAATAATATTAGAAAGTGATCACCATAAACTTGACTAGCGGGCACGATTGTTTTTTATCTCTACAGTAAGAAGAGGCCAATCGAAAAGAAATAAATATTCTATGCAATGATGAAAATTCTGTTTATCCAGTCGAAAATAACGAACTCGTAGCAAGGCATTTTAGCGAAATAAATCAATTCATAGGAGAATGGAAAAATTTGATAGTTTCACTTTCTGCGGCAAAGGGTCTCAATGATGACAATCGGAACGTTGAGTCACCGAATGGACATTTATTCAAAATATTTCAATTCAAAATGTAGGAGCTAGTGTTTTGTTGACGAACCAGCGACTTTTCTCAAGAGTTTTACATGCTGATGATTTTTCTGATAAGATTTTCTACGAGAAATCGGTTCGATCATCAAAAATTTTCGTCTAACGCTTGACTGTATAAGAATTTCTCAAGTGACTGAAATCCTGGTTCATTTTGCTTTATTCATCATGTCTTCTCGTATTCTGATGTGTGTAATAAGAACTTGTCAATCATTTGATATTGTCTTACTGTTTGATATTGTCTTACTGCGAGCCATTTATTATGAATGACATACTCGATCGAAATCTGAATTACAATAATGACATGCTCGGTCGAAATGTGGGCCTCAAGAGTTTTTATGCTTTCGATGAATGTCATTTTTAATTTGTTTACTAATTCATAATTCAACCTACTGAGACATCAATTGTTTTTTATCGCTAATCTTATCTAAATGACTGGTAAATAGAGTTACTCTAACTATAAAGCGAATTACAATATCACATACACATGAGAAACAATCTTAATCACTTCCCATAAACATGTTCCGCGCGGCTCCGACTGAAAATCCCTAAACTGGATGCAAGATCGATTCGAAAGCGCAAGGTCCAGTTTTTAGTCTCAATTTGATCCTTTCTACTGGGCGAGTTTCCTCGAGTCCGACAGTTGTGCGTGCGCTCAAGTTTTTCGGTTTAGTGAAACCGCCGCGAAAACCCGTACGTCTCCCGGGGCAAGATGAGTCGCCGTCCGCTGTGGTTTGGAATTAGGTCCCTATTCATTTTGCGTACTTCATTTACATTTTACCATTTCATTTTACCATTGACTATCAGGCCAAGAGATTTATAGCAAACATTTTTTTCATATATCATTTATTTGTTTAATGAGGCTAAGGACAATAGCTGAGGGAACTGAATGCAAGTGTACTATGCAAATTTTGGGTATGTATTCATCATGTGTTTCTATGTCTAACAGTTTCAACTATTCACCAGTCAATAGTTGAAATTCACGCTTCGCGACTTCATTAAATAGTATATTTTGATGTTCTAAATAAATTCGAACATATTTTGTTGTATGTAATAAACACTCCTGTTCGCTCCTTCTTCCTCGACTAACAATGTAAAAAGTTCTCAGAATTAACATGCATAGTTTCTGTGTTTGTGGATTCAAATCTGCTCACAGCAATACCCCGTAAACATAAACTTCTCAATGCAACTGGTCTTCACGAGCAAACTAATTATGATATTTGACATGTCCAACGATTATATCTGTAGCCTACAGAAAGAACCTTAACGGTGAAGCATTTCATGCACCTAATCCCAGCCAAGCGTTATCAACGAAAACTCATTAGCAGGGCTAAATGTCTTGAGTGGCATTGTTCTAGCAACAATAAATATTTACCATCTTTAGCCTCAATCTGGTCAATTAAATTATCATTAGAAGTATATTGGTTAGAAGTATATCCAAAGGTTTGATCATTAGAAGGGAAAAAACTTAAAACTTAAAACTTCAACAGAAGGACAGGATTGGTTACAGTTGTAGTGCAAGCATCTATGTGTTTCAATCATTATCTTGCGCATAAGGAGAAATTTTACTTGAAAATATTACCGGACAGTAGTCAGAAATCCGGACAAAATAGCGTCCGATTATTATTTCAGTAATTAGTTTGTACTTCAAAACCGGACGCAAAAATAAGTGAACTACACATGCATTACCGGACATCTAAAAAATGCCAAACTCGTTAGGTTAGGGTCAGAGTTACGATTAGTTGTGTATAAAACACATCTTTACATTACTCAACACCCTTTTATTGGGGTCGGGGGTAGCCAGATCAAGTCTTTTTCCTTTTTAGCTCATTTTTCTCATTTATGGAAAAAATGCACTATTGTGCTCTCCAGGTCCGTCCGTCCGTCTGTCCGTCTGTCCGTCTGTCCGTCTGTCCGTATGTCCGTCTGTCCGTCTGTCCGTCTGTCTGTCTGTCCGTCCGTGACTTCACGTTTTCGTCGACTAGAAAATGCGCTCTCTGTCACTCACTGCAGTGGGTACTGAGTTATATTTTTTATAATATTACATAGATCATTGGGTACAAAATAATCATAGTCCAGACATAAGTTACTTGTACTTATCTATATTATTATAAGTATGGTTTGGTTTTATGTTGTCGCACTAGACAGGTCTGAACAATTAGAGAAAATACTTGTGAGTGCACCTGTATCCGAGAAACAAATTCAATGAAACTATTGATTTCAAAGCATTTTATATGACATTCATGAACGTTTTGCGTACCACCTTCATGAATTTCAAAACATTTCATAAGACATTCATTAACGTGTTATACAAATCGATTGCTTCTACAAAAAAAAATAAAAATAAGTAAATGAATACGATCGTAATGTCTTCGGTAATTCTGCAAATTGTTCCTGTAAAATCCTTGCTCCTCGTGACTTTAAACAACACAGACAGACGAAACCATTACAGATTTTATCCTTTATTAATGTTTAATGGAGGGAAATCATAAACGAAATACCCGACTACATCGAGACTTTTTCTCAGGTTATTACATGCTGGCGTCATTTATTTATGAAAAATGTATTTACAACTAATGATTGAATATTTAGTTGCAAATGCATTTATGATTTATTTAGATCCAATCACTCAGATCTAGAAAAAATTCCAATTTAAAATGAACCAATATCATGAAAAAATTCAATAAATATACACAAGCATGAAATATTTTTACTTCAATTGAAGTAGCAATGAAAGTCTTTTTAGCACATTTTCTTAATTTATGGAAAAAAGCGCTATTGTGCTCTTCATGTCCGTCCGTGGCTCCGCGTCCGTCCGTGACTTCACGTTTGTCCGTGACTTCATGGACGGACGGACGAGAAAATGCGCTCTCTGTCACTCACTACAGTGAGTACTGATCTAATTTTTAGCGCCTATTTTCATTTATGGAAAAAAGGCGCTATTGTGCTAGATGAATCGATATAATTAAAACAGTGAATAATCGAATACAGATAGCGTGTCTATAGCGCATGTTGAGTCCGCTCACATGGGATTGAGTTCCTCCCGAAACGTTAATTTTGATTATTTTCTGTACTTTAAAAGGTTAGGATTTTAAGGTCACATACAGAACATATTTTTAAAAAAATTCGCGAAAAAAGATGTTTGAACTAACCTTCATGGGATATTATTTTGGGACTTAATAGGAACTAATGCTATTTAGTTAAAAAATTAATACAAATATATTTAAATCTTCCATTTTTCAGAAAGGTAATATTAGATCGAAGCCACGAAAATTCAATGAAAAGAAAATCGTCAGACTGAAGATCTTGGAGACAAAAGGTATGTTTTTTTATTAATTTTTAGAATAAAAATTACACAATTTAGCTTGCGTAAGTATGAACGAATTATTTTTAATGTATGATATAGCGGTAGTATGAAAGTCCGTAACTAGTACCCATTGGCCACCGGACTTCGCTTTCCAAGGCGCAATTCTTGCAAAGAGGCTTTCGTAGTTTTAGGCAATGTGTTCAAAAAATATAACTCAGTACTCACTGCAGTGAGTGACAGAGAGCGCATTTTCTCGTCGACAAAATGTGAAATCTCGGACAGACAGACTGACATGACATGCACAATAGCGGATTTTTTTCCGTAAATGAGAGAATGCGCTAAAAACGAGTCGTTAAAAGGATAACATGACATTTTTGTGCGCCTTGCAGTAGCCGACACTTCTGATGCGCGATCCAAAATCTGTAAGTCTCCCATCAATCTGTCAAATTTCTACCCATAGAAGTTCTTGCAAAAAGTAGTTTACTAAAACCCAGAGTGCATATGCTCAGTAACCTGGATACTGGCCGGGCCAGCAGCTTTCTTCCGTTTTTGCCAACTGCTGAAAGCAAAAAGCCTTGCTTTCAAAAACTAGTGTTTGACGGTTGCTCCCGATTGAGGGAGTGGCATTTTCTCACTTTTTTATGACTTCACTTTTTAAGGACTAAGTACTTGTTCCTTCATGATGCTATTTATGTCTAAATTTGTTGTTGATTCATTGGGAACGGGTAAGAAGACATGACTTTATTTTCCATCACAATTGAATGCCGTGTGAAGTTGTACTTGCAAAAGTTTTACCGTGTTTCCGTATTTTCTATACAAGTGAACTATGTTGTAGAACTCTGGCTTTGAGATCTGCCTTTAAAATATAACTTTTAACATGTGTAATACATATAAATATATTAGGGAAAACAACTTTTTGATGATTCAGGACATTATATAATTACGAGCATATAATGAAAAACATTATTCTGCGGGAATGAAAATCATAGTCACTTTTTTCAATCGCCCTCATCGCAAATTGCTCGAAATCAAGCGTTTGCATATTCACAAATTTTTGGTTTTAATTTACATATATCATTGGGAAATAGTTAAAATTGTCAAATTAATATTATTTTTTCATTTCGATGTAATGGGTTGAAGGTACAGAGAATTGAAATCACTAATTCTATCCACACATTCCCATGAACGGCCAATTCCNATTTTTTCCAGAAATGAGAAAATGCGCTAAAAACGAGATGTCCTCAGCGATCGCTGCGCTCGCGCCGCCTCGCCCGAGGCGTCGGACTCGAGCGGTCTTTAGCGCCTCGCTGTCGCCTCAGGCGGGCCGGTATTTGGGCTAGAAAGTGTGCGCGTTATAATCATGCTCCAGCACGCAGCATGTTAGTAAACAGAAAAATTATCACAACTATGATCTCAAACTGATGAAGTTGGTGAAAAAAATTAGAACTATTGATTCTATATCTCCCTACTGACAATCTTAGTTCAACTGGACACTTCCGAATTCACACATAATAATAAAGAAACGACTTGAGTCGTAGCAACTGGATAAAATAATCAGTGTTTGTTTAAAAGTTCCTCATCGGTTCTGACGTAGAATTTATTCGATTGAATGGCATCCACTTCTATAATAATTGAAGTATGATGCCTGCTTCTAATTTATACAAGTGCTTCAAAAACGGTTTAGAAACTCCAAATCTGAACTTCATTCATTATTATACTAATAGGAGTTAAAATGAGGTAAAAAGATCATGTTTCTTATCGATAAGATGGATAGGAGATTTTAACCTAAGCAAGCTCAGTGTCATGGTGCTTCCTGTATCCTGGATACGAGGTTTGCATATACCGCCGCAGAGAGAGAATTTTTTCCAGTCCGTATCTTGGTCAATTTTTAGTGCTTCTTTTCTGCTCGGCTACAATTTCCGTGACAATAAATTTTATTCTTAAGTATTAGATCGCTGTTTAAAATTTAATTCATAACTCATGAGCCATTGAAATTTTTCTTCTAATCGGCGAGTTATACAGTATATAAACTCGAGAATAACGAGTCCTAAGATGTTACAGTAAAGCGTAGTGATGCTATTATAGAGCCATTATGCAATTCAATAAGTAATTCTGTTATTAACTTACTAGTCCAGATGGCATTGAAATATTACGGTACCTAGCTACGACAATCAACACGACAAATAACTACCGTTAAATACACTAAAACAATTCATTTTCTGCTAACAAATATTTATTTATAATTGAATGCACATAATAAAATATTTACAAATAGAAGGAGGCTTGATCAACCGTTGTGGCTCATAACAAACTCCTCGAAGTATTCAGAAGATAAATGGAAGAAATATACAAAAGTTTTCGCAAACACCAATTCGGCTAATTGGAATAATTCACTGGTAGCTCAAAATTTAATTTTTCGGAATATACCTTAAATCTGGAAACGACTCAAAATTAGCTAGAAAGTTCTGAACTATTTTCGTTCCCCGTTGCTCTAATTTTTGTATATCATAAATGTAAAAAAGTTATCATGATCTTCATTGTCTAAGAGACAACAGAAAAATTAATTTTGAAAGGAAATGAAAAGTTTTTTTCTGTTACTTGCTCTCAACATCACAAAATTCACATGTACTGTATATATCTTTACGTGTAATTAAATAGGTTGTTTTATCATATCACGTACACGAGCTCCTGCTTGTGAGTCACAAACCTGAAAAGCATTAATTCGCTACTGTATTAACGACTTATATTCAACTCATCAATAAGTTGTAATCGCGGTTGCATTAATGAGCTGTTTTCAGCTAATTTGGGAACCACAAATTCGACGGCAGCTAAACGTGGGTTTCATTTTTTCAGAAACAACGAAATTGACTAGAATTGAAGATAACTATATTTATATATAAATATATTTGACAGAAAATAATTTGAGCTATTAATGAAAAAAGCTTTGAAGTCTCACGTACATAACTCAATCCGTCGACCCTGGCAAAAACCTCCTAATGGGTTTGATTGGAATACACTGACTGATATGAAGCCATTCGCCATTTTTCAAAGGGAATTTTAAAGCTCCAAATATTAATTTTTTTTAATTAATGAGATTGTTTCCTCAACGTCATTTCAAATCTAAGGCATCAGCCATACGCGGCAAGAAATTCCGCCTCAAAAACGCTATCAAACTCATCGTCGTTGACGACTACATTGTTCAGTGCTGAGAACAAAATTATTAGCGCAAAATAATATTCCCTTAGTTGACCGGTAATTCAAAATTACGTAGTTTCGTATCACAAATAAATAGTTTTATGACATGAATCGAGCCCAGTTTATAATCACGCCAATAATTGACTAAGCGTTTATAAATTTTTCCTGAGTTTCACAAAATGAAATCTTGAAACACGTTTTAGGTGAACAATATAAGGTAGGATTATTGTCCTGATACTTTTTAATGTAGAGTTTTCTTCAAATCCTAACGTTAATTTACGTATTTAATTTCATGCTCTATTTTCAGTGTATTAGCTGCCAAATTGCCTCTTGAGTTAACGCGCACGGGTGTAAAATAAAATATAAGAAAGAATAACGCTACCACGTATCAGTTGCAATAGTGAGTGGGCAATAGTGCATGAGGTAGAAGCATGACTATATATACGAGGTCACGGTAGAGTTTGTGTGAAACCTAAATGACCAATGATGAATATCCTACACCAAAATGAACCTATATATTTTACTGCATGACTTCCCAGCATTAATTCAAACTTGATGTATGTTTTCACCATCAAAATAGCAATTCCATTCAACGCATAATTATAATTTGCATGAGTGTCTTTCGTTAGCACTTGTCATGTTGATCACATTTAACGAGTTTCTCTCCGATAACCGAAAATTCCTGAAAACATCAAATAGCCTGTAAATTCATTGACATTCAATGAATAATATCGTCCCGAAATCCCATTTACTGCCTTAGAAGACCAATGACTGGTAAACATACCACTGTTGCAGAATTCGAGTGAGAGAAAAACTCTTGTCCAGGATATCAGAATATCTTATATTCTGCACAAAATTGTACATTTACAGACAATTAATCACGTATAATACATCTTAATCTGCTCAAGTTCCACCCGATCGTTGACTCGACCTGCCAAAACTGGCCCACTTTTTTCCATGATATTTTTTGCGCAGAGAAAGCGAATCCTGTGATCCCACGGGCCTGTTCTGCAGCGCCCTATATATCAGGCAAGAAAAACCCACTAATGATTAATAGAGAAAAAACTTAATTGGTGTTCATGACTCTCTAAGGACAATCTTCACTCAAATTGGTAATAAAGAATTTATTTACATTAATTTTTTATTAAATAAATTTCGTGCCAGTATACAATTGGACAATATTTACTACAAAGGCTAAGAGCAAAACTGAGTTAAAATTGGAATCAGTGCCTTCAACCATTTTTCAAGTAAATAAAGCTTACAAAATTGAATATTATCCGAATATTGCTTATCCGATGAAAATGATGCATGATTAAATTCATGTGTAGATGAAGTTATTTGAGTAATTATTTTATTCAATATGGTCGCATGCCCAAACTAACTGCCTGTTGCTAATGCCTTTAAAAATATAACTCAGTACTCACTGCAGTGAGTGACAGAGAGCGCATTTTCTCGTCGACGAAAACGTGAAGTCACGGATGGACGGACAAACGGACNTAAAACACCACTTTGATGTACAATTTATATGGACTCTTGACAGCCGTCCCATAGTAGACACTTCGTCGCCAATTATTGAACTTTAACCCAACAATTATTTTTGATGGCCTCGTCTCAGCTGTGATTTTAGGCGCAGCTTTCAGCCGACCGCAGGTAAACCCAGCGGGGGAATTTAAATTAGAATTTACCATGCAATCCCGTTTTTGCAGCCATACCGAAACCATAATCCCATTATGGATCGTATTGTTGGGCAGTAAAGGGAAATTGTTAGACCGAAACTGAAAATGGAAGCTTTCGCTTGCATTCCAGTTCAACAGGTCGTTAGCAAGTGTAATGTTCCTAGAAGGCCGCATTCATTCCGTTTTTTTTTCAATTTTTTTAAATTGTTTAACACATTGAAAATAAGATGTGTAAACTAGGCTTACTGTTTTGCCCGGCGTATAATCTCCGATAATTTTTATTTTTAATTGATATAAGGTGAAATTGTTTCGTATAATTCTTGTTTTTATTATTTCTAAGAATGCGTATTTTTTTATCGCAATTGCCTCTGACGTAAATTAGGATAACGGATTTTCAAGTGTTTAAGTTGTACCCAGTCTTATTAAACTCGTAAAATTGAGTACATTTTACTAAATATTGCCCGTTAAAATATGAATACGAGGCAAACCAATTTTTCGTGATAAATTGCACTTTCATTTCGATTTCAAATACTTTTTTGACAGAGTTTTTGCCATCGAACCGTTCCATTCAAACCCGTTAAGAGTTGTTTTTGCATATTCCAACAAATTTTCAAACACAATAAGTATTCATTCTATATACTCTGATATATGCGTTGGTTATAAACTTTGACATCCATATTATGCTATATTTATTTATTTTATTATAGGTATGAATGAATAATTTGGAATTTTAATGAGAAATTTGTAGTTTACTTGGGTATCCTGTCACCTCAAGGCGTGGGTAAATTACCATTAGTTTTGATCTGAGTGTAAACTTCTCTATAAAAATAGTAATTAATAGATAAATGTTTAATATTCACGCAAAATAAATAATATTCTTCTGATAAAACTTAATTACTGGAATTGTTTTTAAGTACAGAAAATGCCTAGCAAATTCAACAAAATTTTATTTGTTATACCTGCTTATTGAAAACAAAGTGCAATGCCAGGGACCCCAGATCCTCATTCCCTTGAATTCATATTCAAAGTATGAAGACACTTAATTGCTTACAACCTTAATTACGAATACGGCAGGCAGAGGGTAGTCACCACAGCCCAGGTAGGCGCTACCAAACAGCTTCACCCTTCACGCTCTCCTCTCCTGATTGAAAGCAAACAAGCTGTGATTGAACGCTTCACACAAGCAAGCCGCCAAAACATTCCAACATCCAAGAATTGTCCGCCAAAATTGCTTGCTGAATGCATCCCGTACAAAATTTTTTTTAGTTCTATTTTACCTTAGAAAATATTTTATTTTTCAATTCGATATTCAATGAATTATTTAATTAATTATTCGCACGACTGCTTTACTTAAAAATTTTCGTCTAAGGCTTCGCACAACTTCAATATTTTGTTCCTCGTATTACAATAACATTCGAAAATGTTGTGAATACAAGAAAAAGTATGCAACTTATTTGAAGTTTGAAATAATAATAGTTCGGTGATCAATTGCCTTTCATTCGATCTTTAATTGCACAAAATTATGGTCTGTGAAAGATCAGATCTCCAGCTAAATGCATCATGCATCAAATATTATCTGGCCTGATTTCTTACAGCAAACTTTAAACTTTTTCTGGTAATTTCAACGGTAAAGTTATAATAAATCGTTTTGATTTCTCAGGTTGAAGAAGAGAAGGTTACCCGCGCTCGGTCCTGCCACGAAAGCCAACAACATAAAGCGTAAGTAACATAATCATAGCAGGTCTTCCATCATCATTCCTAATGAAATTTGTCTTATGAGTTCTTCCATGAACATGAATGTTATAAGAAGTCAGATATAGGCAAATTATGAATTGAATTGTAATCCGACATTAATATTATTCTATCATATACTCTGATGAGCAAATGGAATTTTTGTTACAATTAAGGAATTAAATACAGCAAGTTCGGAATTTTACGTCTATAGACAAAAATAATCTAAGTTTTTCACGTCTTAAATCCACCCTTGTATACCATAAAATAGAATATTTATTGCCTATAAAGTTTAACATTATCACTTTAGTTAAATATTGACTAAGAAATATATCCAACCCGGAGTGTTACGTTAATTTCAGTTGCTAACTTAGTATAATCAAGCGATTTATTTGTGTATCATTGTATATTTTACCTTGTTCACTTGTTTTTGGAACCTTTTTTTTACAAATAAATCATTTATAATATTTATTCTTTTCTGTTTCTATCGACGATAAATCCCGACCAGGTTTCGTTTGCTGTGTTCGGTCGTCTTGAGCTGTCAATGGCAGCCTGCCTCCACTGAGTGCGCTGCTGCTGCCGCATCGGGTCTACGAACACAAACATGAGCATCCCGGTAAGCCGATAAAAATTCATATTCATAAACTATTATTTTTAACAACCGTAATAAACGTTGCTTAATTTATGCACTTTCCAAAGTGGGTTTTGGCTTTCATCTTTATGTTGTTTCCATCTTTATTGTGTTACCATCTAGAGTCATATGACAGGCCTATCCAGGCCTATCCTGGCCTATTCTTTAAATGCCGAAGATACTATACTATATGAATCGGAAATTTATTGTTTAGATTTTGATTCTCTCAGTTGAAAGCCTTCGAGTTCACTGTTTCATAACATTTTAAAGGAATACAAATATTATGGACGTTCACCGTTCCATAATATTTTAAAGGAATAACTTAAATACTGATCGTAGCCATTAATAATACATAATTTTTGGAAGAAAAATAAAATACTGCTTATTGAAATGGGTATCATGATAAAATCAATAGGATGGAATTCGAGTCTCATTTCCATCTAGATTTGAATGACTGTGCCAGCTTGGGAAAATAGGTAATAACTTATCATCACTGACGAGATTTGTAAAATCCTAATAAATGGTAAGTTAGAATTTATGAGAATAAAGCAGTTGGCCATGTTCCGATATCTAATAAATTAGTTTTAGAATGAATTTGTCTTACTCGGTGACTTATAGCTTAAAACATTATTTCAGCTGTAAATATTACTCTAAGAATCTTCACGCCATGTTATTAATTAACTTGGTGCATGTGTTGATGGTTTATTATCTTCTGTCAAAGTATTTTAACGACAGCGACGCTAGTCAATGTCATGTTTTTTATGTCGATACTTATAACTTCTTTGCTATTATCTAGTTCATTGCTTCTTTTATTTCCAAATTTTTACAATAATGGTGATACCTTACAATAATTTGGAAAATAAATTGAGAAATTTTTATAATGCTTAAAAAAATGATAGCAATAAAAATTTCAAATATAACTCCTACGATACGAGACTTTTTTGGGTGTGAATGAACTGCTGGAACGATTCAAATCAGTACGTAGGTTCATGCTGTTGGAAAAATAACTCATCCCTAGTTTAAAATTCAGCTTTCCATCGTCGTTATTTGATCATTTCATCAACCAATGGAATACAGTATGCCGCCGAACTTTGTTAAGAAAAATTATAAATTTAACAGAATTGACTTCTCAGCAATGTTGCGGACCATCAATAATTCCCCGACGATGGGTTCTTGTAAAAAAACTTATTTTATTTCTCAATGAATACGATGTTGCAGTCCGAAGTGAATAGAATTATATCAGACGTTATGAAAACTCCCGACAGCTGACAGTGAAGGAAAATTTACGATCCGCTCGAGCACTTTGAAATTCTGAAAGAACAAAAAGTATACCTGTTTTGATCATGCATTCGGTGGGAAAGTGATAAGAAAATACCATCTCGATCCAAGACGAGTGGTGAAAAACAAAATTCAACACGTGTCAAATTTTCATGGATAGAAGAATAAGCTCGTTTGTCATGCAAAATACGTTACCGGATGTCAACAGACAACTGCATCGCACTAGAATGATATAAACGCTGGATTTCCTATCATGTGCAAACGGAAACACCGCCGCGAAGTCGAAATAATTACGGGTAGCGTGCCAACTTGGTTGAGACTTTCATACTGATTCTAAACACAAGGGCTGAAGAGTCGCTCTTTGGTCCAGCTCTTAATTCCCTTGCGTTGAAGAGAGGAGGAATGAACGCGAGGAAATTTTCGTAGTATACTGGAGATCTTCAGGCGATTTACAAGATTATTCATGCAATGCCGCACAATTCATTATTCTACTTAGTCCAAACCTTCACAGAAAAAGGATTGCATTTTCAGGGATACAAACAGCAGCGAGAAACGTAGGTATGAGCCCTAATACAGAGGTGGGAGTAACAAAAAAAGACAGCAAATGGCGCGGGTATTAAGCACACCGAGATGCCAACATCCACCCGCGGAGAGTAGAGTGACAAGCTCTAAAACACTGCCAAGAATCACAAAATGGACAGCAAATGGTACGGGAACCAGCCGCACCGAGATGCCAACTACCAGCCGCAGAGACTATGGCAACTAACCATAATACACTGCCAAGTTCCGATTACTCCCGAACGTAGAAAGTATGAATTCCCACCACACGGGAAATGCGAACAGTACGGCAGAAGCTGCACCAGAACTCTGACAAATATACACGAGTGCGGAGGTTATTGAGCCCCCACAACACGAGAAGTGCTCGGTACGGGAACTAGACGTACCTGAGCGCTACCAGCAAATGGAACTAGCCAAGAACTCTACTATCGCCGTATTTAGTCCGTTTGTGGATCTCTTTACGAAATATGTCCAGAACTACGGCAGGTTTTCGGAAGCGAAGATCTGGCTCTCTTAATTCGATTCAAAACGAATCGAATAAATCCCCCACCCCCACCCCAAGGTCCCCCACTCAGTCAAACTAAGCACACACAATTTGCCCGCGAGGGGTAACTCATCTAAATAACTTCGCCCAAATACCACGTTTATAGCGCACCTAAATGGACTAGTTTCATAATTCAGATAAAAAAGAAGATAATATAATACTATAAAGTGATAATAATTTTAATCCTTTGACACACTAATCACAAGTTAATAGTCGAACAATCCTAAACTAATTCTAAAGAGACCGAGCTCTTCGTCGTCCAAGACCACCGAGGGGATTAAAAGCGCACCGAAGCGAGGCTACCAGCAAATCTACCAATCACGTTGGAGCTACAAGACATTCAGTCTCGTTCCAGGACCCTAATAACTAAATCCTATGAATTAACAAAATAATATCACAGTTTAACGAGATTCCATATTTTAGTGAAAAAACAAATATATTCAACCATTATTGAGTCACTAATCTAACAAAAGGGCATCATCAATCCCGTCACGCATGGCTTATCTTTATTCTTGTGGATTTTCACGGTAAAAGAAAACGAGGATTTGATCGTAAAAAATTCTGAAAAATGCAGATCTGAACTTGATACTGGATTTCAGCAAATAACTCTACATAGGTTCTGGAACAATTATTATTGTCAGAGCTCATTGATCAAGCTCTACCTGAGGATCGGGTTACGTGGCGATCGTGAGGATCGGGTTACGTTGTGAAGGATAAGTAAGACATAGCTGTCTAGATAGCATATCTTGATATACGGGTGGTTATGCGTGAGTTACGATACAGAGGTATAAGCTACAGCATCGACCGCAAGGTCGGAGAACTCAACCGACGCGTTACATCGCGGAGCGCTTATCAGCTACTGCGGGGGCTCATACTAAGGTAAAAAGCCCTTATGAAGCTTTCGCTTCCGCCCACAACTAAGGTCTTCCAGATGCTGACTCATGTCATCAATCTCTATCAGGTCAAGTGAATATTACGTCCCAATTATATATAATTTCTGATTATAATGAGACGCCAGATTGACACCGGATTAAAACGATTGAGAGTACGATTGAGAAAACCTCTGTAGCCAATTAATTAAATGAAGAGCGGTAGAAGCTTGTCGCAACTGTGCGACCTAGTCCACCATAGTTGAAACTAGTTCGGTGCGACGGAGCAGGTTATACAATGTGAATTCAGTTGTAGTTGGTTAATTGCAGACGCTGAATTCATCAATCCAGTGAATTCATGGACTTGAACGTCAAGCGAAATTTCACAAGAAACTACAATCGTTGATGGATAGTCACCCTATGTCCACTCATTCTCTCAAACTCAAAAAATTTAGCTAACTGAAGGTTCGGCCAGTGTCACTTGGTGAGAACATCGATTTTTTAACCATGGTGGCGTATTAGTAAACTCTTTTAACCATGGTGGCGTATTAGTAAACCATTAGTTGGACTCGCAGTCCGGTGGTTCAAGTTGGATTGGTCGGGCTCTCAACCTGGTGGCGAAGGCTGTACTGATTGGAAACTGAACCTGTTAGCGAAGGTTGTACACTTGTACTGGTTTAACTCTCAACCTGTTAGCGATGAGTCCAAAGGAGCAGGTTTTCCGAGTTTGGAACGAAAGTAACCACGCCATCGTGCCACGTTCGTGGATCAAGCCAATGTTTTTGTGGTTCGACGACCGCAGTTACTCGTCTGATCCTGTTCTCCAAATAAATCAACCTCATTTTGAACTTCAGTTACAAATGGCGTGTTGCAGAACACGACCGATGGTTATCTCCGGTTATTGCCATGTCATTACCTCCCACTGACCGACACAAGAGACGTAATACAATTATTTCGTCGAGAAAGTTTCTGGTGGCCGAGACAGGGTCTGAATAGCATCACAACGCATGAGCAATCTATGTCATTTATTCAAAAGAATGATGATTAAACGATTGATTACAAAAGGATGTAGGGCTGTCATTACAAGATCCAGAACGATCCTCTACGAGCGCCAGAACACAGTGCTACATCGATTTTCAGTTGATTTCGACAATTACTCTGCAAGAATGTGTCGAAAGTCAATTGGAAGAAAACTTGATCAAGAAAAGTGTGTTTTGAAGTTTGATGGAACATTAAAATTGTATATTTGTACAGGCCTACGGCAACTGATGCAACACTCACTTCTTAAACGACTCATTTGCTGTTAGCGGAATTTTTTCCAAATTCTAAAAAAATATTACATATCAACTGACATGACAGCCTTAGCTAAATCTAAGCCATTGAGTTAAGATTCTTAAATACTAAACAAACGCCTGAGAAGCGTTTAGCCGATCAGAACACTGAAGACATTTAACAATTTTCAGGGACATCCGGGGTGGCCGATCGTCTTGCTGCTTTTAGCTGCAAGATGCAGCTATGGAGATAAATTTGCATCGCCCACCTCATCTCGCTGGCAGTCCACGTCTGCTGCATTGGATTCCCACAATACTCCACTCTTTAGACATGAGGCTGTACCCTTTGAGACCAGGAGCTATGGAAGGCCGGCTGCTGCTGAAGCAATCACCCTGATGTATGCTAGCGGTCACAACCAAAGCTTGGAGCCGTCAGAACAAAGTAATCTTCGGAATTATGCATCGCCTTCCAACCACCAGTTGCCACACCTAACTTCTCGGGTTAACTTGCCAGCGTCTTCCTTGACCAAGAGAATGGGGCTGTCCACTTTACCAGTCTATAGAGTTGATGTCAGTGAACTGCCGACATTACAGGAAGTTCAAAGCCAGAATATTCACTTTGTGCCCAACAGTTTTGGGCATTCAAATGTTTTGAGTCATAGTGCATCTTTAGCAAGACCAGGCAATAGCGATCGGACTTTAATTTCTCCAATTTCTTTAGGTATGCCTTTTCCTTCACATTTTTCTCCTACATCAAGGCATGTATCAGCATCAAACGTTGACGGAATACAAAATCCAGTGCATTTCTTTCCTTCAATGTCCACATTCCGCCAAGAAGATATTCCCTCTGTAAGTTTATCGACATTGTTTCCCAGAAGTGACTCATTCTTGCCGAGAAATACTGCTGTGTTGCCACAACAATTTCTCCATGATAATTCTTTCGCTCGAGAAAATATCTTCCACACCGCTGATAAAGTTGTATCTCCTCAAGACGAGAATCATGAAGCTTCCAACGGAACACATCTTCAGGAATTTTCCGTTACTAATAAGATGCCAACCATTATCAATCATATCCACATTATCAGCAAGAAAAGAGAACCTAAACCCGTGAAAGATTCGAGAAAAATTAACGACTTCAGCCAAAACCTCTACGATGATTACTACGAAGACGCTTACCCCGACTATTCATTCTATGATGAGAATTTTTGGCAAGAACAGAAGACGTTGTCGAAAAGATCAGACAGAGAAAGATTAACTCAAGAATCTCTTGCTTCCTCGTCGTCCGTGCCATACGAACAGCTTACGAATGTAGCGACAGCTCGATCCCTGTCGCTTCCACATACTGACTTGCCGACTAATGCTCCAGAGGCTAGATTGAAGTCAGAAGAAAAGGAACTGCTTCTTATGGCATTGTCTGAGAAAATTACCCCTCAGTACAGGTATAAAATAATGTCACCAGGTAATAAACATGGACCTGAACTTGAAAAAAGTAGCACAGCCACTGCCATAAATGGTTTGTTACAGGCTGTTGCCAGTTTTTTCGGTCAGAATGACGACACAAAAGAAATGAAGAAGGTTGAAAGGCCCAAAAATAATAAGATCACATATCGAGATCGCTTCGAGGAGTTCATTAGTAACATGGATGACGACACCTTCAACGCTATACTCAGAGACGAAGCTAAAACCAATCACAGTGAAGTGACTTCAAGAGAAAAACTCTCAGTCAAATCAGAACAGGACAGCAAAAATTTTGAAGAAATAGCTAACGATCTTGCTCGTAACTTTGTTTCTGCGCTGCTCGAAAATTACCGCGCAATTGTCAATCCTGGAAATCTTTCCGCACCCGTTCAAAATGATCGAGTTGATATACCGCTCGAAGATACAGAAAATGAAAGCAACACAGATTATGTTGATATGGGATGGAGATACTTCGTTGACAGTATGAATGAGTTAAGTGAAAGATATTCAGGCAGGACTAGGGAGTGGGCAGATTACATGGGTGACGTGATGACGGAAAGTTTGTCGCAGGCGTTTGCCAGTCCAAGTGTAGACATCGAGAGTTACCTTCCTGTACACGACATGAATGAAATAGATCGGCATTTTGTTGAAGGGAATAATGGAGGTTATGGAGGTGGTGGAGGACATGAAGACGCTGGAGGATATGGAGGAAGTGGGGGATATGGAGGAGGTGGAGGGTATGGTGGCGGTCGAGGGCATGGAGGCAGTGTAGGATATGGAGACGGTAGAAGAAATGGAGGCAGTGCAACATATGGAGACGGTGGAGGACATGGAGGCGGTGGAAGGCAGGGAAGCACAGGAGGGTATGGAGGCAGTGGAGGAAATGGAGGTGGTGGAGGCGGTGGAGAGTATGTAGGAGGTGGAGGACCTGGAGGTGGTGAAATGTATGGAGGAGGCGGAGAACATGGAGGCGGTGAAAGACGTGGAGGCGGTGGGGGACATGGAGGTGGTAGAGGGTATGGAGGCCCTGGAGGGCATGGAGGCGGTGGAGGATATGGAGGCAGTAGTGGATATGGAAGCGGTGGAGGATATGACGGCGCTGGAGGAAGTGGTGCAGGTCCTGTAGGCCGAGGTGGCTACGGCAGTGGAGGCGGTTACCGCCAAGCAGGCGGAGGGTATGGCGGCGGTATCGGTGATGGCTATGGTGGGGGAGATGGTGGAAAAGGCCATGGAAAAGAAAAAGGCAAAGGCTTCAGTAAAGGCGGCGGAGGAAGTCATGGGATAAGCTTTCAGTTGGGATACGACGGTAACATTGACGATATTTTTCATGAATTTGGAGGGTTAGGAGGAGGAAAGGACAAAGGCAAAGGAGACAAATTTGGAGGACACGGCGGTGGTTTTGGAAACTCCTTCAGCGGAGCAGGAGGATCTTATGGTGGAGGAGGACATTACGGACAGGACTGCGTTGGATATGGTTGTCCAGGTGGATTCAACAAAATACATTTAAATCCATTCAAGCTTATCAAAAGTATGATCAAAACTAAGCTGGCAGCATTTGCTGATGCCCACAGTCAGCTCTTCAGCTACTTGGGTTGGATCGCTCATCTCAAAGCAGAAAAATGGCGAAAGAAAATCCTGAACTACGGGTATGGCTATACTAGACCAAGTGGGTACGACACAGATGGAAAGAAAGGAGATTTCGGTGGAGGGAAAGGGAAGGGAGGCGGCAAAGATGGATCAAAGGATGTCAGTTTTCTGGTTACATATGGTGCGAATAAAAATAAAAATGTTGGATTTGGTGGAGGCAGCAATGGGTATGGAGGAGGGAGTAATTTCGATGGGAATGGATATGGGAATGGCTTAGGTGGTAGTGGGCACCGCGGTGGTGGTATTCGGGGTGGAGTTGGTGGTGGATACAGTGGAGTTGGAAGTTATGGTGGACATAGCGGAGGAGGAAGCGGAGGTGGATACGGAAGCGGAACTTATGGTGGACAAAGTGGTGGTGGATATAATGGCGGGGGAAACGGTGGTGGATACGGTGGAGGATTCCGCGATTTTGGTTCAGGGAAAGGGATTGCAGGAGGGAAAGGTAAGAGTAGTGGAAAGGGAGGAAGTAAAGATGGTTCGAAGGATATCAACTTCATGGTGAGTTTTGGCGCAAATAAAAATAAAAATGCTGAATTTAGTGGAGGTAGTGATGGATATGGAGGAGAAAGTAATATCGGAGGGGATGGATATGGGAAGGGCTTCGGTGGAAGTGGGTACCGTGGCGGTGGTATTCAGGGTGGTGTTGGTAGTGGCTACAGGGCAGGTGGACATGGTATTGGAGAAGGCGGAGGTGGATATGGGAGAGGAGTAAGTGGTGGTGGAGGATATGACGGAGGTGGAAGTGGAAGTTACGGCGGACAGAGTGGTGGCGGGAGTGGAGGTGGTTATGGTTCAGGTGGAAGTGGTGGTTATGGTTCAGGTGGAGGTGGTGGTGGTTATGGTTCAGGTGGAAGTGGTGGTGGTTATGGTTCAGGTGGAAGTGGTGGTGGAGCAGATAGAAATGAATTTTTGATTGTCAATGAATAATAAGTTGAGTAGTTAGGGGACTTTAGATCCCCTCGGAGGGAATGGGAGTTGGGACCTGTGTGGTGGGGAGGGAGTTGGTACCTGTTTGGTGGGGACGGGAGTTGGTACCTGTTTGGTGGGGACGGGAGTTGGGACCTGTTTGGTGGAGAAGGGAGTTGGGACCTGTTTGGTGGGGAAGGGAGTTGGGACCTGTTAAGTGGAGAAGGGAGTTGGGACCTTTTTGGTGGAGAAGGGACCTGGGACCTGTTTGGATGGAAGGGAGTTGGGACCTGTTTGGTGGGGAAGGGAGTTGGGACCTGTTTGGTGGGGACGGTAGTTGGGACCTGTCTGGTGGGGACGGGAGTTGGGACCTGTTTGGTGGGGACGGGAGTTGGGACCTGTTTGGTGGGGAAGGGAGTTGGGACCTGTTTGGTGGGGACGGGAGTTGGGACCTGTTTGGTGGGGACGGGAGTTGGGACCTGTTTGGTGGCTGTCTCTTATACACATCTAGATGTGTATAAGAGACAGGTTCAGGCGGAAGTGGTGGTGGTTATGGTTCAGGCGGAAGTGGTGGCAGATTTGATGGAAGGGGTAAAAGTCGCGGTGGTTATGCTGCAGGGAAAGATGAATATAATGGAAGAGGTAACAGGGGAGCTCATGGAGAATATAAAAAAACTGGCCAACTGAGAGGTGGACATGACAAAGCTGGAAGCAAGGGCCATGATAACGGCGGACACGTTGGTCAGGGTGGACGTGATTACTTCAAGGGGCAAAGTAAGGGCGATGCATCCTCTGATTATGATGACTATCAAGACTATGAAATCGAATACGAAGAAATTGAAATTCTGGGGCAGGTTGAGCCTGTCCACAATATCTTTGAAGGTGGGAAAGGTGAAGGATACAACACCGCTCCGGATTCCCGACGAGATCGCATTGACCGCAGGAAATCAAGCGTAGTTTCGAAGTACGCATCGAAGCTGAAAAATGATGTTAGAAACACCACAAACAAGCCAAAATCAAGTGAGAGCTTCGAAGATTTCGTTACAAAATACGACCAAGTAAATGTTCTGGGTAAAGTTGAATTGATCAACAAAGATGGGAACGAAATTTTGACAACAAAAAGAAACGATAACGACCTCCCTCTGAGTAGCCGATCTCATTCAGGAGAAGAAGAAGAAGAAGCAATTTTTCTGAGCGCAGAGTTGCATAATAACAGGACCAGAGAGCAAAAACAAGACGTCATGAAGTCGGAACCTCAAACAAAAATCAAAGAAGTTGGCAAGAAAAGGAAAATATTACCCGAGTCAAATCCCAAAGTGGAAGTTGTCAGGAAAGTCCCGACTCCAAAGAATGTCACGCATTCAAAAGTTGCGAGAAGGACAAAAATGACTACAAGAGTTGCGAAAAGGAGAGAAAAGAATAACAAAAAACCTGAAAGGTTGCACAATGTTAAAACAGACGTCGGTTACAAAAACCAAAGCTCATTACAGTTTTCCAATGGGCACGGAAATCCATTGGCAGCTGGGATGCCAAAGCATGGCGAGAAGAGACAAGCGGGCCGTACGAAGAAGAAGAGCACCGCAGGTCATACGCCTCATATCATATTGGATGAAGCAAATTCATTTGGGAAAATCACTTATGAAGATATTCCTCCCAAAGCCCCAGTGGCTGAAAAAACGAAGAATAATCACAAAGGTCAACGTGATGACGATGCACAAGGAGGTGGAAGACAAGCGAGGGAGGAGGTTACGCCTGAAGTTGTCCTCTATGACCGCCAGATTCATTACCAGCGTAAGAAGAAAAATCGCGAATCGGCTAGCCGAGGCATTCGTGCAACTCCGCGAATAACGCCGCTCGTACCTGTGAAACTTGGCTACATGGGAGCAGGCAGGATAGTCGATTCCAAAGGAGAATTCTTCAAGGTTGTGAACGAGAACAAACAAAAGGTGCTTGACGACAGCGCTGATTTCTTCCTGAGTTATGACTTAGGGCCCCCAATTATCAACTCATACTTGAGGACCCATGAACCAACGCCTGCGGGCGACGTCAAGGAGGAATCTCAGGTGAAGTTGTCAACCTCAAATGATGAATTCAAAGACGTTCCGGCAACTGTTGAACGCAAAGCTCCCATTCAAATGCACCGGAAAGTTAACGTGAGAGGCTTGTCTAGTAATCTTCCCCCGATGGGCAGCCTCAGCAACTGAAATTCGACTCGCTGATCGCTCGAGTGAAATTGGTACAGCTTTCCGGGGGTCTTGCCCTGTAAAGATAATTACGGAGTAACTCCCTTCCCACTTCGCCTCCCTAATACCGTTGATAATTTTCGAATAATATCCCGTTTATTCGAGGATTAGCTAATCAAACCCATATTAAGCATGGAGTTAAACTCTTCCTCTCCTAGTAAATTCCCGTTCGGAATTTAATGCAAACACTAACTCTTCTTTTTGAAGAATATTAACACTTGCCACAGAAAAAACTATTAAATTTCAATATTCCATTTACACATAAGTTTTTTTAATTTTATAATATTCCGTTGTTGGGAACAATATTTTGATGCAAGTTAACATCACATTCCGATCGAAGTGAAAATCCTAATGAAAGTGCTTAAAATTTGGTTCATTAAAAATAGAAAATTAATCAATAGTAAGATATATTTTTTCAGTGTAAGGGTTTCAATGGATAACAATGTTAACGTTTTCGTAAAAATAGTATATTGAAAAAGTTGCAAAGTAGCTCCTTCTTGATTATTTTAATTTCGAAACCGCTCTGATAATACCGCTTAATGCAACACTCATTCTAATACAAAGTATATTGTTACAATACTTATTGTACATGTGTATATGACGCGAGGTATTTCATGAACTCAACGTTCCTACGCATTGTACTGAAATTTTCAGGTTGAGGCTCGAGTTGAATTATGTCAACTATTCGTTTTAAATATTGTGGTCTCCAGATTCAATAACGAACTATCAAAAGCCATTTGAAGAGAGTAGGTGTGGAACAGGTGTGAAAAATAACTTTGTGGTAGTCATGCTTTAACGTTTTCCGTGTGGGTTGTGCCAGAAAACAATCTTCCACATGAATTGCTGCCAAATCATGACGAAACGAGTTTCTTACTATGTAAATAAGTTTGTACATTTTATGCTTGGTAAGATAATAATAATGTATTGTACTTAACAAAGTGCCAGGAAATTTATTTATTTTATCAATAATATTTGGATGAACGTTTTAAGGGCCATTTAGTCGCAGTTGCGTAGCTTATTTCAATTGACAGGTTTACTGTTTAGGTTTTAAACATGGAGGTTATGAGATTATCTCAAATATCACTAGGATTAGGCAATAAATGTGATGTTAGTGTAAGTTTGTGTTTCAAATCACGTGAGAGGACATTATAAGTCGCTGAGAATGTACTCAGTACATCGATGCAACATGAGCAAGGACGGCCGACGAACGTTCACATAGGTTGGGCGTACATAAACGTTGATAAGCACGGATATTTAATTTTTGTCGCTAATTAATACAAATACTTACATTTATTCGAAGTATCATCTGCTTGGATATCTATTATTAGTACCCAGATACAACGCGGTAATACGATCCAGGATTCACTTAATTGCATTAATTCGTGCATTATATATACGGCATATTATATACGGCATTTTTTACTGTTCGTGACTTTTTGCGTGAACCGCATGCTGGTTATATCTTTTAAAGTTACAAATGGGCTTGTTTTTTAAGAAATTGTACAAATTTCTATAGCTTATTTCTGTATGTTAGTTCTATAAGTTTTAAAAATACAAAAACTATTTGATATTTGAACAAATTTTCTCCTTACTGAGTCGACAGCATGCAAGGATATAAGCACTCGATCTGAAAAATTGCCTTTTACTGACAGCTACACTCAATTTGAAAATGTTATGCGTTAATTTTTTATTTTGAGTTATTATATGAATACATTTAAAAATAGAACTGTGACATCTGTGGTGTTCGACATTACATCACCGTGTGACAGAAGTTAATAATATGATAGTTAAGTTTATCTGGCATCATCTAATTCCTACAATCGAATACTTGTTATTGTAATTTTAATAAATTAAAGATTTGAAAACTTCAAGCTGAGAAAATGGTCGGTATTGTAATATATATAAATGAAATAGGGTTTAACTTAAATCTCCTTCGTACATCATCATGTTAGTCCGACAAATGAATGACTTCCGACATTCATCTTGATATGTTAAATTTATTCATAATCGCGTCTCTATTCGGAATTTTTCGTCGGTTTTTTATTGGATCAAAATAGTCAATGCGGTTGAGGGAGCCTATAGTTAATTAATATTACAGAGCTTAGTAGGTTAAAAATAATCAGTAGTGAAATTCAAAACATGGATTAGGATTAAATTAAAGAAATATTAGATAAAATATTAAATTTGATCGAAGCTTAATTTGTCAGTTTACATTAATATTTGAAGTGAATTATGGCTGCACTGGAAATTATCGATAGAAGTGTAAAGTTGTTCAAAAATAAATAAATTAAAAAGATTAAATTATTTCGACCTTCAATGGAAATTTATTGCAGGCGGACTTCATGAATGATGAATTAGTGAATATTTACGAATTTACTAATTCACGAACCCAGACTTGGTCGATATGCTGACCAAGCATAAACCTGATACTTGAACCAAAAGCATGAAGAATTATGGCTTCTGTGAATAAATATTCTCAAAAAAGGCCCGGCTGACGTTATGCACTAAAGCTGAAGCACTCAACTGAACTAAAGCTGAAACATTCATTATTCATTCACTAAAGCTGGAACATTCTACGGGATTTTTTTGAGAACTTTAGTCCAATTCACTAAAGCTGAAATATTACTCGACATAAATTGCTAGAAAGCAAAAATGTCGAAGTTTTCCTACGTGTTGGGCTTCGAACAGCCACCATCGCTAGGGCTGCGATGCCGAACTCAGTTGCTAGACGATCAAGATCCGATTTGGCATGCAATAAGGCTTAAAGTGGAAGAATTGTCATCTAAGATTACCGCGAGTGAGTAAATATAAATTAATATCAATACGGGAGTTCAATGATATGCACATTTATTTCTGGTACCAAAGGTTTTTAATCCTAATCTAAGTTTTGATCCATACATTATGAGCCCCTTTGCATCAACCTACAGTAGGATACTTGCTAACATACATAGTATAAAAGCATCCAAAGCTAACAACGTAGGATTTTATTAAATATTTATTGGAAAATATATCATGCTAATGTTTACGTTCTGTAAGTGTGTCAGAAAAAATGCATTGAATTTAGTGACCTGGATTTTTTCCTTAGGACGCCCAATGACGCAAGACGCTGAGGCTGATCCTGAGTAATGCTGCCCTCGGTTCATCCTACACTCAGCACGGCCATGCTGGTGAGTTCGGACCGTTGATTTTGTATCCGGTCGAGTAGCTTCAAGGGTTTTGGATAATATATTTAACTTTTAATGGGTAAAAACTCAAATTTTATATTATTTCAAACAAAATATAAATCAAATATTGATAAGAACAGATCAATGAGGAAAAATGAAATGAGAAATTAATCATTCACGGATCAGTGTAAATTAACTGAAAATATACTTTTTCAAGCAATACAGTTATTTTTCAAACATTTCGAAAATTTTCATAGATTTCAGAATATAACTACAACAGCCTTGCTCGATTAAGGATTTGAATCCGTTGGTTTATGCCACTCTTAATTCCATCACGAATTGTGTTGATATTTGAAAGGAAACGTTCAATGTGTTGTTGACAGCTGAATTTTAAATGTAGCAATTTATTCAGCTGAATTCTGAATAACAATTATCTGAATTCTGAATTAATTTGACAGCTGAAACGTGTAATTTCCCCCAGATGCGTCTGCAGAAGAGCCTGCTTGTGCTGCTGGTCATAACTCTGGTGGCCACCCCAGGCCGCGCGACGCAGTCAACACATTTCAGGGCAACTCGTGTCCATTTGAGTGACAATGAAGCTCACATCTCAACTCCAACTACTTTGTTTAGGGACGACGCGGTGCCCGTTGATCCTAAATCCCTTCACGTTGTCTCGAAAATCATTGGTCCTGGTGAGGGACCTGAAATTGAGACCGATGACCTCACCGGGTCATCCGGAACAACGTTGCCTGATAGCGACGATTCGAAACCTCCGCGCACAGATTTTTATTCAACGACTTCTGTCAATAATGATATTAAACGTCATGGCATGCAATCAACAGATTTTCAACAACCAATTCTCCCTCCTGAATTAGATAATCAATCAAGTTTTAAACATGCCTCAGTCACTGGAGGAGACAACGGTGATTTGGACACCGGCGAAAGCGCAAAATTTGAAGTCTTGCGCTCCGTAATGCGGTCCGGTTTTGGTCTTCAACCAAGATCATCAACTACAGAAAAACATAAAAATTTAAAGAAAAGAGAATCAGGAATAGAAAGGATACCATATCCACCATATCCTATACCTCAATTTGCAAGGAGCATGGAGGAAATTCCATCACTCGAAGCAATTAAGCACCATCCAATCATTGTTAGAACGAGGAATTCTCCTAACATGGCTTCAAGAACCAAGAGACCTCAAAGACAACCGTCAGTGCATCAACCCCAGCCTTTTCTTGAGTATTACCTCCCAAAAAAGACCACAGGTCCTGTAAGGTACAAACTACCGCAACAGCTTCCGTCAGCATCTGCATACACTTCGAGCGGCGTTACTCCTCAGGCTCACGGTACGCGTGTTCAGCCTAGGGCTTCAAACAACCCTCGTCGGCCCCCGCGACATGGCACCAAAATAAAACAAACTCCAACTGCAGCTTCAACACCCCCAATATTCTACCGAAGCAAAAATCCTTCTGGAATAAAACATCCACTACAAACAATTTCACTCCCGTCTCAGGAATATATAAGCTCTGAGTACGCACCGATGCATCCTTTGATGTTCCCTAGTTCGAAAATTGAAACTCTTCCTATGCCTTCAAATCAGCATATTTATCAGACATCTTTAGATTCGTATCCACAAGTGTTAGCAAACTCGTACATACCTGAAGTGAGCCTTCGTGATATTTATAAAAGTACGACGAAGTTTCAACCACAATTAGAATTCAATCCAATGCCCAGGCCAAGACAAAAACCTGAGATTCAAAGCAGTGCTCCGAAATTTCAGGGGCTGCCCACCAATTTCGAGATGGGATCTGTATATCCGACAGAAATCTTGTTGCCTCCGGAACGTCCGACAGAAAGCTTGTTGCCTTCGAGACGTCCGACAGAAAGCGTGTTGCCTTTGAAACCTCAGAAACAATCTACCGAGAAAAAAGAAGTGCCTACAGTGATCAATCATATTCATATCACAGAAAGCAAAAAGTCTGGCATTAATAGGGAAATTACCATCGGTGACCCTACCGTGAAAATTATAGATGACAATGAATCAGAATTGGTAATAGGTGGGTCAACGAAGTCAAGAAAATCGAACGGTAGTAGCGGAACAATGATCCGCATTGTTTCTCCTAGAGGAGTAAATCGACAAGATACTAGAGATTATGAAGCATCCATTAACAAGGCTTCACCTGGAAGACATACACATTCGAAATCAGAGGAAGAGAACTTAAGATCACATCCTTTAATGGCTGGACATCGATTTACTCAAGCATTAAAAATCCCTGATACCGATCACATACCAACTTTCTTCATGAAGCCTCTCAGACACCGAGTGACATTGCACGAGGACGTCGAAATGTTAGAGAAAGAGCATGATAGCGAAAACTCGGGAGGAAGTTTCCTGTCTAATATAATGAACTTTTTTGGACAAGGAAACACAAGATCACAAGAGAAAATTCGATCGGATAAAACAACACAGAATAGAAGGAAACCGGTTTACAGGGACAGATTTGAAGAACTGATTATGAATCTTGACGACGAGTCCTTCGATGCCTTTTTGACCGCCGTTAAAGTTAACAAAATATTCGACAAATCTCTGCAGCGTCTGAAAATGAATCAAGGATACCCGAATTCGGCCAAGATCTTCAACAGACGATCATACCAACTGCCAGAAGAGAACAGTGAGGAATTGGCGGATCGCATGATTGAGGATTTTGTGTCAGTGCTGTTTCAGGAATATCCGACGATCGCTCATCAGATTCAGCACGACAAGCCATTCTTTTCTGCTTCAAATGAGGTCGAAAAAAACCTTTTTGTCATTCCCGAAGCAAGAGTGAATGATATGACTACATATCGTGGATTACAAAACTTTACCGAGAATTTACACCATTTTTCGAATAAGTATTCAGGAAGAACTAAACAATGGGCGGATTACCTCAGCCATCTTCTCGCTGAACGATATCTGAAATCGGTCAAAGTTTCGGAACCGGTGCGAGAAAATTTAGATATCATAGTGAATGGAATACAAAATAATCAAATCGATCGTAGCGATGATTGGTCCCAACTGAAAATCCGAACAGAAGATTTTAAGAGCAAAAGAGAAAAAATTTTAGACGAAAGCAAGAAAAGGTATCAAAATCTCGACGCTGGGCTCGCTTCTGGAGAAGTGAGAGTCCAGCTTGGGTATAATGGAACCTCAGGAACTCCTCTGCATCAAATTTTGTCAGAAGTTCTGGACGAGTTTATAGATTTCGGTAATAAAGACAAGGCCTCGCGGGAAAATCATGAAAACACCGAAAGCTCACCAGAATTCGCACACTTATTCACACCATCTTTTATTAAGACTCTTAACAGGCATCTAGAGAACAAACTTAGACGATCCGATCAGTGCAATGGGGCTGACTGCCCTCAAAATACAAGATACAAGAATCCTGTTGAATCAAAAGTGGAAAAAAATTCTTCACGAGAAAAAAGTATCGGCAGTAGATTGTTGGACTACTTGAGATGGTTCTCAACTGGCAAAACTGATGATAAGCGATCCAAAACAGCTGACCGCGTAAATTTTCATCATTTTGTGAATTCTAAGAAGAGTGATTTTCGATCGAAAAATGGAGAAGAGACAAAGGACGATTTTATGTTCGAAGAAATAAAAGAGAAATACTTCGGTGAAAGATCAAATGGAAACAAATTTTTTCCCGAAGAGGACCGAAAGAATTCTAGAGAATCGTTTTCGAGTAAATTTACCTCCAAGGAAGTGGATGTATTACTGGATTACCTAATTCAATCAAATCTTCATACACGATCCAATCACATAGGACCTTATCAATATTTTTCTACTCCTGGCTTTAACCAACAAATGCCTTTAGGATTGCCAAATAAAGGACTTAGCCAAAGTACTGGTGGCGTGAAGGCGTTTAACCTTGCCGGTGATGGAGGATTAACTGCCTCTGCAGGTTATGGAGGATCAATTAACCTTGCAGGTCATAGAGGATCATCTAACCTTGCAGGTCACGGAGGATCGACCACTCTTGTAGGTCACGGAGGATCAACCACTCTTGCAGGTCACGGAGGATCGACCACTCTTGCAGGTCATAGAGGATCATCTAACCCTGCAGGTCACGGAGGATCAACCTCCCCTGCAGCTAATGGAGGATCTGCTAACCTTGCAGGTATTGGAGGAGTACTTGGCAGTCTTATTGGTCGGTATTTTGGAGGCGTTGAAAGTCCAACACAAAAAGGTCTTGGAGGAATAGCAGGTGCCGCTGCTCCTGTAATCACAGGTTATGGTCTAGGCAATATGGCTGAAGCTTCACCGTTAAATGGAATTGATTTTAACCTACACGGAGCTGGAAGAAAGCCGTCGGAAAATGGTTTACGCCAATCTGATGTTAGAGGAGCTATGAATCTAGGTTTTAGTAGGGGTATTACCCCGCAGTTGCATAACTCACCGGCTCCTCTTGGGTTACATCCGAGTATGGTTCACAGTATGACTCATGATGGGCTTCAAACTGACATCAGACCGGTCAGTAAGTTTGGATCTCGGTTGAAAAATGGAAGACCAAATACCGGTGCTGGAGGTCACCATAATCAGGGATTCAATTTTCGGAATTCTAACAAGCGCAACATGGGGAAAAATTTTAATAGGTTCAGTGCATCTCGACCGCCGGGATTCAATTCCCACAATTACGATTACGAAGACCCCGACGACTATGATTATGAATTTAAAATGTACAGCCAAATTTATTCACCAAATGGAAAAATAACATCACCTCATAGTACAGCGACTTTCTCTGACCACAATGATTACGACCATCATAATTACAGAGCTACTTCGAATAACATGAGGAATCATAGAAAGAAAAAGCGGCGTTTTAGGGCGAAACAGAGGTTGGAAGAATATTACGATGACTATTCAGAAGAAACACATGTTTTGAAGTCATCAGACTCGAACGGTTCTTCGCGAGATTCTCCTGATGAACGAGATTACAGTTCTGAGGCAAACAGTTCAGATAGGACAAGACCCCGCAGACATCGAGAAAATAAGGGTTCCAACCGTCAGCCATCGAGGCAAGAACTTCCCTCAAACTCTCGTGCCAAGAAAGAAGAAGAGAAATTGGACACTTCACATAAAAACGAGGAGCTTGCTAGAAACGGCAACAGTGGTACTGGAGATCGGACTGAGGATGCCGACGGTAAAGTGATCATCAATATCGGTTACCCGTTACCATCCTCAGCCGAGTCAAGCACGGCCACCGTCTCCGACAAAGCAGACACTAACAAGGAGGATCCTTCAAGCTCAAAGGGTTTCTTCAAAACCCTGAAGAACTTATTCACTTCTTACTCGGATCTCATTCAAGGACCAGCGAAAGGAACTTTCGCTATGTTCTCAAATTCTGACAACCAAGTGGACCCCGCCAGTGCAAAAATCGCATACAGCCACCGAGACCCGAGCTCAAATGTTCATACTATCATCACGACCTCAAAATTTGAAGATGATGCCGAGCTGGAACCACCTCGGATAACATCACACCCACGAATACCCTTCACAAATTCAATAAATAATCGACACCGCGTAAATATCTTTCCAAGGCATCAACGCAATCGTTCGTTTTTTGACAATGCCCATTCGGGATCAACTGCTGTCCACCAGCACTTGCCTCAACAGAATATTTTGGAGGAAAAGAAAAAAAATGCCACGGATATCACATTTGAGCAGGTATCGTACACCGAAACTGTTTTTGGCTCCTCATCGGAAACATTTCGGACCCCATCTCCACTTCACGAATTAGATCTAGACCCTCTGAATCCTGTCAAATACGGGCCGCCCAAAACAGCTGAACCAACTGTGCCTAAGGTATTGACGCAACCTGGAACAATATACTTCAATGGACAACCCATGGTGAGGTACGATGAGAGTGCCGAGAATAATGATGCCCGAGCGAAGCGACTTAATTCTCCAACGCAGTAACCATAATTACGAGTCAATTTGTGAGTTATGGGTGACTATATCACTGCAACCATCCCTCCACAACAGAGAGGAATGTTATCAGAGTCCGCACAGAAACTTACCAGTAAACAGGAGTCTGAATAATTGAAGAAAAGGTTGCAATTTCGGATGTTGGAGCAAAGAGCATTTGACGTTTATTTCAAATCTTTGATGCGCTATAATTGACATTAGTTGAATATAAGGAAAATGGCATGCCATCTTATGCGAAGATAATTTCATACGATAGTATGTGAAAATAATTGCATGCGATCTTATGCTAAGATTACATATGCGACCTATAGGCGACAATAATTGCATGCGATCTTATGCTAAGATAATTGCATGCGATCGTAGGCGAAAATAATTTCATGCGATCTTATGCTAAGATAATTACATGCGATCGTAGGCGAAAATAATTGCATGCGATCGTTACCCATCCACTTGTCATTTATCAAAGACATATTAAGCAAAAGAGAGGTTAATATAGAAAAAAACCAGTACGCAATATACAAAGGCATTCTTTGGATTTATTTTTATGGGTGCGATTAGTTTAGTACAATAATTTTATTTAAATTTATTTATTTATGGTATATATTATATACATATATATTTATTTATGCTATATAAGCTTTTTTACCATTTATGTTCAGGGTTTCTGGATAAAAATAAGATGCAAGGAAAAAATATTAAACCATTTATGTTCAGGGTTTCTGGATAGAAATAAGATGCCAGCAAAAACCAGTACGCAATATACAAAGGCATTCTTTGGATTTATTTTTATGGGTGCGATTAATATTTAGTACAATTTATTTAAATTTATTTATTTATGGTATATATTATATACATATATATTTATTTATGCTATATAAGCTTTTTTACCATTTATGTTCAGGGTTTCTGGATAAAAATAAGATGCAAGGAAAAAATATTAGTCGAATTTATTTTAAAAATGTATTGTTCATGATGCCATAAACTGAATATGATATAAATCTTCCAAGTGCTTTAGTTAAGACTATCTCTTGCGTGCTACATTGAAACGGATTGTCCAAACGATACATTGTAGATATGAAACAAAATATCAACTTTTCCTTTCATAAATATAATAAGAAGAATTTTATCGGCGGTGAAGATTTTTCCAGATTTTCTGATTAGGTTTAACGCCTGAGAATTGGTATTCAACTCTGTACATTTCATTGCCGGGTCATAAGTAAATTACGAGGACTAAGTTTGTAGTATAAGTTTTGAATAATTTCTTGTTTTTTTTCACAGTGTCATAGACAAAATATTTTTGTGTTGAATTTGAGTGTCTGATTCAACCTGCCTGAATGGAAACACTCGAAGCAAGACCTAGCACCGCACATATTGAAATAATAACAGTCCAGAGCAAACGTTTTCTCTGAACTGTTTCTTAGGTCCACTCAATCATGTGGTTTGACCTGAATTGCGACTCATATAGGGCTTTGTAAAATTTCTGTAGTGGATGAGTGATGCTGTCATGATTTATAATTTAATGTCGGTTTAATCGACCAAGCATTTCGGTGAGATAAGCATTACTTAACTGACTGGACCTCGCGAAATATAGCGTCAGCCACGCTATCGAGGGACGTGCCAAAATATAGCGTCAGCCACGCGATCGAGGGACGAGCCGAAATATAGCGTCAGCCACGCGATCAAGAGACGTGCCAAAATATAGCGTCAGCCACGAGATCGAGGGACGCGCCAAAATATAGCGTNCATTAGTCTGCTTATATCGCAAGTTCACAAGGAATTTAAAAGCAAAGAAAACGCCAAGAAAATTCACCATATCGATATTGAAAACGTTTCGGAGTCCAGCTCCATCGTCAGTTCGACTAAACTAAAAATGAATAAAATCACGTGTTAAAGTGATTTTATTTTAAAGTGATTTATTATTTTTTTTTAAATCACTTTTTAAAGTGATTTTATTCATTTTGAGTTTAGTCGAACTGATGATGGAGCTGGACTCCGAAACGTTTTCAATATCGATATGGTGAATTTTCTTGGCGTTTTCTTTGCTTTTAAATTCCTTACATTAATTACATTATTACATTATTTCTGATTACATTAATTAGATCAACCAGCCATTGCGCTTTCCCAATTATGGCTGCTTCATCAACAATCGTAGTTCCAGTCCTGCATGAGAAAGATTCCCCGTCAGACATCAGCGTCTACAGAAGAAATAAATTATTTGCTAACTGCACATCCCGCTATCTAGACGGAATTCATGGTCATGGAACAAACAACTGGAAATGAAGGTTGGAGTTCGTTCATGTCGCATGAATACAAAGTAATTTCAACTGAAGGATACAAACGACATTTATAACACTGAAAATGTCCCTCTGACAGGGCACGGAATGAGAGAGAATTCAAATTTAAAGAGATAAACTGGGGGCGAAGGAAACGCAGTAGAGAACGTAATGCTTTCCTGAGGAGGAAGTGAGAATTATTGAGTTTCGGGGCAGCGAGGGGAGAAATGAAAGTCATGGAAACGTACGATGGATTTGAATTAGCCAGCCATCAATTCAAAATTTATTCAGAAAAGACGAAAGAATAGCCGTCCAAAAAATTTAAAAGACAAAATTTGCGAAGCCGAAGAAACAATGGTGGTAATCAAATTGACGGTAACACGGAAGATGAATAGACGAAGCTTATAGTCGCGCACAAAATATAAGAAAAAAATAATTTACGTAATGAAAGTGAGATCGAGAGCTCTAGCTTCTCAAATCATTCAAATGGAAAAGGAATTAACGCAAAGTTTAAGATAAAAAACTCCATCCTGTGATCAGAGCTCGTCAACGCTGAAGTGAAAGACGTTCGTCATATGATTGCCTGGAAAATTGTTAGTAAAAATTGCGTCAGAAAAAAAAAACTTTACAAAAGAGACTTGTTGTGAATGCCGCGAAGTCGTGACTTGAATCATTCGAGGTTGCATGCGCCAACGTCAAGGCTTCTCAAGGTTCAGATTAAGAGAACAGTTTTTTGGTGACAGTTTACCCTTTTACTCGAATTTACAAGCGTGATGTTATATGAGCGAGAGGAATTTATGTTGAGAATTAAAATTTGCAGAACCAGTGCATTTTGATTCTGCTCATATTTATTTAAAGAATTAACGGTAAACATTCTAAGGCTGCGAGATCTAAATGAAAGATTTATTTCAGTTGAATCGAATTCATCAATGAGATGCTGTGCTGAAATCGTAAACAAGTTGTGCTTCACAAACTCAACAATTTTTACACTGAGTTTTCTCGTGTTTAAAAGAGAATTTTTTGAATTCAGATACGTTCTTTGGGGCGTGTGAGCCAATAATTTGATTGAAATTCGAACAATGAAATTATCGACTCGAGTATGCAATTTATTGCCGGGGATTTACAATGTCATCGCTGCACTCATCCATTGTCTCGTCAGAATAAGCGCGAAATAATGCAGAACGCACGGTCACTCGACCCTACATTTGCACTAAAATTTGTTTATAATATTACAAGCTTTTTATAATATATCATGACCGTCTAACTTTAAATACCTTCGATATTGAATATCTAATAAACCTACGATGAAGTTAGCACCTTACCAGGAAACGAAAAATAGAAACGAAGAAATGAAGCAGATGCGATGTAGGAAAATTTGAAGAACATCTAAGAAAGTTCGCGCTGTGGTAACTGTGATCAGAGATGTTTGGGTAAAAGCAAAAATATTACGATAAAGCACCCATTAATCACTATAGCGCCTAGCTGTCGCTTTTGGCCGACGTTTTATTTGCATAATCGGATGATCGCTTCTACGCTCCGAACACTTCGGACGCTCAAGAACTGCCTACACTGCGCTCCGGAGGCCAACCTGTCGCAGAGCCTGCGGTGTTTCAGAGCAGCGAATAAAACCGATATTTGAGAGACGTCCATAATACCATGTTTGGTTATAGTCTATAATACAATGCTTGATTATTTTCAATCCGGGCTTGGCAGGGGCAGGCAAAAAGCCAAAGTTTATTTTGAGCAATACCTGTGCTTGGGAGGCGTTCATAATACCACGTTTTGTTATCTATTGTCCGTGCTTGGCTAAGTCAAGACCAAAAGTCAATGTTTGATTTGAACAACACCAGTGTTTGAAAGGCTTTCATAATACCAAGTTTAGTTTCCTGGTGTCCGTGCTTGGACGGGGCACGGCAAGAGCCAATATTTGTTCCGTGTAATATCGGTGTTTAAGGGACGTTTAAAATACCATGTTAAATAACTCGAGCATAATTCCTTAAATTCTGTACTTATTCGAATTTATTACACGTACTCCTTCGGTTGCAACTAAAAATTATTATATGCTATAATAACTTTAATTATAACAACTTATTGCTACAATTATAACAATAACTATAATAATAACAACTATAATTATTCAAATAACACAAACTTACAATCAATTCTGATTTGTCGAGTGTCTTGAGAAGCAGTTTTCTTTTACGGTTTCTAATTGAATCGGGAAGACGTGATACCACAACTACAGCTAATATAATGCACTGAGATGCAGTGAACCACACTGTAATGTTGAGTGGAGGCTGCAAATTCCCTTCTTACATTCAGACCGGAGAGATTAAGTATACCGGCGCTGATGTAGGCTGAGGCTGGTAATAGTAGCTGTGTCAATTCCGGCTTGTGTACTGGTGCCTAGCTTACAGGGGATTACCTGACAGTCGCCTAGGTGAGCTGTATTTTGCGTTACTGTTAAATACTGTGTTATGTGTTACTGTATTTCGTGTTACTGTTACAGTGACTTTGTGCGTGTTTACTTATAGGTGGCCTATATTATGAAGAAATAATGTGGTGTCGTGTAAGGCCGTTGGTAGAGTAGTCATCAGGCTTCTGAATTACCAGTGTACTTACGATGTTTATTTTTCTTCTAGGATCAAGAGCTTTGTCCCTCAGCTAGCTCGCTCTCTCTCTCCTCCGCGTCTTAGCTCCATAGTAGGCTACTTGTTGAACTTGTTCGTTAATAAACTTTGAGGAACTTGGTTTTGGTTATAAATCCCGTCCCGCCTTAAGCATTGCTTCGCAGCCAATTGGCAGCTGTTTACATATTCAGCTTCCGGTCATTGGTGAGACAAGGATGGTCAATGCGAACCGTTAGGCGAGGTTACTGGTTACTTGGTGGTCGTAGGCCGGTTTATTACACACACTCACTTATGTTTGCATTCCAGAATGCACTGAGATGCAGTGAATTACACTCAATTATGTTTGCATTCCATTAAGAATGCACTGAAATGCAGTGAACCACACTCACTTATGTTTGCATCCCATTAAGAATGCACTGAGATGCTGTGAATTACACTCACTTATGTTTTTAAACTCACTTATGTTTGCATTCCATTAAGAATGCACTGAGATGCAGTTAACTGCACTGACTTATATTAACATTCCATTAAGAATGTAATAAGTTGCAGTGAACTACACTGAGTTACGTTTGCATTCCATTAAGAATGCACTGAGTTGCAGTGAACTACACTCACTTGTGTTTGCATTCCATGTTTGCATTATATTAAGAAGCATTATCCACGTTTTCCCTTATTAAAAT